GCTTGGTTCTGCTGGTTGACTCCTTTTATCTTTATTCTCCTTCAAGGTTTGCCCTTCGGTTCAGTTGCCTAGCCTTTGTGAGAGCTACGATCATGAGACCCTAGACCCGGTTTCCAGCAAAAGTCGTTCGTTCCCTTCCATTACCGGGTTGTGTTGTTGAGGGATTCCCGGCCTCATTCGATCTTTTTATAATATAAGTGGCGACTGTTAAAAAAAAAAAAAAAAAAAAAAAAAAAAAAAAGATATCTTGGAAGCAAATCCAAAAACTGGACCCTCACCAACGAGCCTACCTTCTTCGCCTGAACACAACGCACCCTCATTTTGACTGTATCTGGCCGGAGACATACCTTGTATACGTTCATTTTGAGGGTAAGTTATGTACAGGGGAAGACCGTAGCTCAGTTGGTACACCCCCCAAGAACTTTTGACATAGAGACCCAATTTCGAATCCGCATGACGACGGAATCAGATGAATGAAACAACATTTCAAAAAAAAAAAAAAAAAAAAAAACACTGAACGCTCCACGTAGAGCATATTTTAACGGCCTCTGTGGTGGTCCATGCAACACGCTCACTGGCCGACGAGGAAAAGAGGAGGCAAAAGGTAAAAAACAAACAAACAAACAAGTCTGTATCTAACTGCATTCCATTACAAAGTGCATGCATCCAACGTGCTACGTTATGACCTCGCAAGTCAACCCGGATCGCTGAAAAACAGGTCGCCTCCGCATCCTATCTTGGGTATCAGACTGGAAAGCAGGTCCAGTGTCCTCAGAAGAAGAGATAGAAAAACTGGCTGGAAACCAGGTCCAGCCTCCTTTCCAAAAAAAAACAAAAAAAAGTACTTCTAGTAATTCTAGCATCTCTGCATATGAGGGAAGAAAATCAGGTCCGGCGTCCCTTTTTAGATTCAATGACATAGCTTTCTGATAGCCTTATGCGTTCTGCTGCTCAGTGCCCTCACGAGTTACGAGCTCAGAAGGACCTCAGACCTTCTCATCCTGATGGGCTGCCTGGCAGCGCCTGCTGAATCCATAATACCTAGGTCTGTGAGTGGGTGGTGGTCCCACAAGAGCTCCGAGTACCTGAGCTTGTCGCTGTCATCGAAGTAGGCCCAAGAGTGTAGAGAGGCCCACTTGGATTGGAAGCGAATCTTGGGAGATTCTGTTGAGCCTGTTTGCTTCTTGATTTTGACCCACTCCGACATGATGTCTAGTCTGATAGCATGCTTGTATTCTGCGAAGATAGAGCCCAGGGTGGTGGTTTTCTGAGAAAAGATTCGGTCTCTCCTAGCTAGCCAGAGCACCCAGAAGGCTCTCACCCGAAATAACTGTGCTATTTTGAGAGACTCTTTGTAACAAGCCTGTTCTGTTCTACCCGTGAAAACAAATTCCTTCTGCCATATTAGAGATCCTCCGTATGCTTGTGACCACATTTGTTGTAATCTGTCCCCAAAACCTCTTGCAATGACACGTTCCCACCATAGATGCAACGAGTCTTCTAATGCAGCACGCAGCTTGTGGGCAGGCTCTGCACAAAGTGTCAACTTCCATGTCCTTTTCTGAGCACCACATCGCTGTTGGGACGCAAGAGTGGAGGTGTAACCACTGTAACCCCCCTGTCTTGGTCTCCAATGCCACTAGTAGTAGATGAATGAAGAAGGTAACCCATCTAGACTCAATAGTCTAGACTCAATAGTCTGTAACCCCAATGATTTACACCTGTTTACCCATCCAATCCTCAGGCTCGCCTGCAGCTCATGGCTCTTAGTCTGCAACTTGTACCCAATCTTGGATGAGTAGTCTGTGAGTGGTACTGTCGAGGTAACCCCTGCCGTGTCTGTTATTTTCCAACCGATTTTGTCCACATCCACTCTCCATTCACAGACTGGTTTGGATTCCAGTTATACCTGGAGTTCATTATTCCCTCCCTGTCCTTTCTTTTGTGTTACGCGGATCCTTTCCCATCCCACTGGGGTCTTCACTACTGTGTCTCCTTGTGTCTGCACCAACCGCGAGCCTGAGAGTTACCATTCTGGAAGTTTCCACCTGAAATGGATACAGAGAGGAATCTGGTTGATCAGGCACATATGGGACAATGAAACACAAGACTGGAAGACCAGAGAAGAGCTCAAAACAAAGCTAGGAAATCTGCGTAGGATCGAAGAGAATAGACAAGCAATCATACAAGCTATCCCAGACTCATGGGTAGGTATTCTCATAAGACCGAGCCAGGACTAGAGAGAAAGCGTGTTTTAGACAATTGCGAACAAGCGTCTCTGATTTTATTCTCCACCATGGCGGCTTGGACTGGTGTGTTGTCCTCAAAGGAGGCTTGAATCCCAAGATATCGTTCCGATTCTGAAGATGGTTTTCCTGGTGTGCCTAGGTCTAGAGCTAGCGGTGACCCCTGGGGAGTGAGTGCCACTGATTTTTGCCAGCTCACTCTCATCTCCGAGGCCACTTCATAGATATTGACACATTGTTGTAAGGCACCTAGTGATTCAATGGAGTTTTCAGTAATGGCAGTGAAGTCATTGGCTAGTGCTGAGACTGAAATTGATAAGTTGTTGGGTGTTATGGGGAGACCATTGAAGAAGGGGTGGTTTCTTACCATATTTAGTAGTATTTCTAATTGGATTACGAAGAGCGAGGGTGCCTTTTTTTCCGTCTTTCTTTTGGTATGAAGCAATATATTAACTGAAAACCCCAAGAAGAAAAAAACGGAGCGTATTTCTAGAAAGCAGCACCCTTCCCAGGCTTCAGAGCCTCCATCCTCCACAGCTGACTACCGGCCTACCGTCTTCACCCGAATAGAACGCCCGGTCACTATAGCTGCACTTGGCACAGCTTTCAGACCAGATGCAGCGATAACCACCGGGCGTTTTATTTGGGTCATTATAGCTGCACTTGGCACAGCTTTCAGTCCAGATGCGGATGCAGCGATAACCACCGCGCGTTTTATTCGGATGAACATGGTAGGGCCGAAACTGTATGCGATGAACCCGACTAAGGGCGAGATCCCACTGGCAAAAACGATTGGAACAAGTGTCTGAATCTGGAGGTGTTTGTGGAGAGGTGCAAAAATCTGTAATCGATCTGCTTTTCTGCATATCTGCGTGGAACATGTCCTGATTCAGACACTTATTCCAATCCTCTTTGCCAGTAGGATCTGGCCCTAAGCTTCTTCGGGTAAACCAACATTTCACACGATCCTAAGTTCAATTCACGCAGCTACCTTCTGAAGTGCTTGCGAGCCTGCAACGACACCTTTTACAAAGAGGCCAGCTGCTTTTGCTACCGGTCCTGGCCCAACTTGAAATGCTCTTACCGCGTACAACCCATAAGAGCACTACTTATTACGTCCGTGTGAACTGCTGCTGGTTTAAATATGGAAACGAAACGGGCTACTCCGCGATCTAGCCGTCTCGAATGAAATCCCTCTGACGAGGATGGGTCTGGCACCAGTCGATAAAAAAACTGGTTATGGAACATGAGCGCTTTGTCCGCTTGCAGTCTGCATTCTCGTTGTTTCTTTTTTTACGGTGATTGGAGTGATGCCATAGCTCTCTACGGTCGATGCCATAGCTCTCTACGGTCGATGCCATAGCTCTCTACGAAAGGGGCAGAGGAGGGGAGGGAGGTGAGTCTGAGGCTGGGGACTACTACTATTGAATGTAAGGCAGGTTGAATGGGGCTGGGAAGGAACAGACTACAGCGGGAGTAGAAAAGGGTACCGTGGACTTGGGGAGGGTAGACTGCCCAAAGGAAGTGAATGTGAGGGGAGATTTCAGGGGTTGATAGGGGGAAAGACCACGAATGGGATGCAGGATCACAGAGAGGGTAGGTATGGCTAGACCTTATAGGGGCAGAATGGCACATGTAGGGAGGAGGAGATTAGCAGTACTGGTGGTTGTTGGTTGTTTTGGACCCTTTTGACTGAGTGGCTATGACCAAGCTTGGGTTTTGCGGCCTGTGAAGCTGCTAGGAGGGCCTCCCCGACGTCTTTCCCTCCCTAAGGCCCTTCTGCTTCATGACTGCGTTCTGCCAGTAAGCTTCCCGGCCAGCAGAAGTCCCCTAGGAAGGCTACATGGCTTTTTTTGGGGGGGGTCAGCTCGTAGCAGCCCCCCCCCCTTGAGTAGATGACTCATACTGCAAGGGCTGGGCTGATCCTTCTTTACTTCTCTTCACTCACACTTTTCTTGTACTCATGCTTGCCGGTAATAAGCAACCGGACCGATGCCCCCCAAAATAGAAGAAGCTTGTGTGTCGTTAAAGAAAAAAAAAGAAAAAAAAAGGAAAAGAAGAAAAAAAGAAATCGTTTGTTCGTTTCTCTTCCTTTTTTTTTTTTTTTTCCCTTGGAACCTTGACCTTCCACCATTACTGATGGGGTAAGACTATGCCTTCACCATATTCACTACAGTCACCAGGAAGAACTTAGGTACGAGCCGTATGAATGGTGTGTGCAAGAAAGACAAAGAGTCAGACACATCGTTCTCATCACAACAGATGGAACTTTTGAAAGTTGAAAAGAAATTGTGAATCAGTCATTACAGAGAACATTTTCTTCCTTCAAGTTTTCTTTTAATAATTTTTTATTTTACTGGGCTACCAGCCGGGCCGTTAGGGTCACCTTGTTTGCCCAGGAGGCCTGGCCGTGCAAGGGCCAAAGAAGGTCCCAGCCAAAGAAGAAGAAAAAAATCCAAAAAATCCAAAAAAAAACTTATGTAGAAAAATAAAGCGAATGCAAGGAAGATGAGCAATAGTGAACTTCAGCAATAGAACAGCATCATACACATGAGACCAGATAGTCGTGACCTCGAACCAAAAGCAGATTTGCATCACGAGTTTCACCAAATAAGAGCACACCAAAAGCTCATAATTGACAATGCTGGAATAGTCTCATCATCATCAATCGAAGAACCAATGTCGATATCCTATCTGGCGCTCGGCGCCCAGACTCTACGAATGGCAGATCCTATCTAGCGTAGACTACAATGCGGCTGATGACGTCAACAGCTTCCCAAGTAGGAGCAGACCTCGGCCAATGCCGCACGCGTCAAGCACCAGGTATGTCTCTCGTATCACTCACAACCTCGTTCCCCAACTCACAGATGCCACTTGCACCCAAGGACCACCATGCGCCCCATCCAGCCTACAGCAGCGCAGCTCGGCTATGGCTGCCTGCTCCTTCCAGCTCACCCATGAGTGCGTGAGCCTGGCAGGCGATAGCGCAGCAGTGCTTGCGCACAAAGCAGTCAGTGCCCGAATGTTCAATGTGTAGGCTGGCCCTTTCCTAAATGGAAGTGGCCAGCCTGCTTGCGTGCAGCCTGGCTGCGCTGGGTCCCTGCCCAGAAGCTTCCGGTAGGCCCA